CAGTGTATCATATTTTCTAAGCTTTTTAAGAAAAGTAAAACTATCTTTCAATATTTTTTGGCATCTAAAAGAAAAATCGCAAGCGAGTTTATTCTTTTTTATCTTAGCTTTCGTGTTTTTGATAGTACCCACATCTAACCTCCTTATTATGTTATACGATTGAGTGCAAATGACTTTCTTTTAAATAAAAAATTAAAAAATATCAACCGTAATTCACAATAATGCCATCTATTGAGTCGACAGCTAGAACTATTGGTCTTAGAACAAAAAATACAGAGACTAATTCTTTGTTCACTTGGAGTTATAAGTCTAATCAGAACTCAAACTTTGGATTGTTGTTTTGTTCGAAAAATCCAAAACTTCAGATTTTATTATTGTTATAAGAAAACGAGTTGAAAGATTATCTATTATATTATTATACTTACAAGCAGGGGCGAATCCAGTTGTAAGCTACACTGTAGCCCAGTGTAGTCCAAGCTCATATGTATTAAAATTATAGGTTAAATGGTTGTAGTCCACTGTTTAGCCCAATAGTCAGCAGCCCAATTGAAAACCCAATTAATTCCCATTTCCCAAACCCTTCTGAGGAAATTGTGGAAAATATCCGGTTGATCCGACCACTTTTTCATAATAGCCGTTGACCAAGTAAAAAAAAAACAAAAAAAAAATTTTAAAGTTCAGTATTTTCCCATTTTTACCCTCACACGTGACTTGGAAGAGAGTTGAGACAGAAAAAAAAAGCACGTTTTCGAATTTTTGTTGATTATCTTTCAAGAAATTGTTGTAGAATCAATTATTAATGAATGAAATGTGATTTGGGTGAGATTTGGGGGACGGAGATTGTCAAAAATGGCGTTTTCAGGCGAATCTATCAGTTGGAGGAGAAAAGCCCAAACGCGTCTGGGCTTCTGGGCCCAATTGATTTTTTCTTTCTTTTTCATTTAATATTTAATTTAAAATTAATTTCTAATTTTATTATTTAATATTAATTATAGTTTAATTTTGTCTTGGATTTTTAATTATTTATTTAATATTTAATTTAAATAAATAATTAACATATTTAAGTAAAATTCATGAAAAAAGAGTTTGTAAAATATAAAATATTATTTAGTTATAAATAATAAACTATTAAATATTCATTTGTTTATTTAATACTAGTTTTAGCCCGTGCGATGCACGGGTTTTGTTATTTTTAAGATTATGTTAGCGTTGTATATAAATTC